CAGCATACTGTTTTACTCAATAACTCTACACGTAGGAAGAGAAACAAATGTCATGACTGGACATAACCCTCCAAAATTATCAGATTTTTTTTTACCCAGTAACACAATATTAGATCACCTGCTTCTTTTGAAGGTAAATCTGAAAAGCCAGGTGTGCAAGTGTCCACATATATTTTTGAATCATTCAAAATAAATAATACATAAAATAGGCACTGCCTCAACAGTTTCAGCCACTGGAATTTTATGACCAAAACAGGAAAAAAAAGAGAAAGAAAATTTTACTCCAGCACCAAAATATTCAGTCTTACAGGAACAGAAATGGATTTACTGAAAGAAAAGGGCCCTGGTTTGCACAGGTGACTAGTATCTATAAACTAGTTAGTCAGTAGTTCTGTCACACTGGCTATATATATAGTCTTGGCTTTTTTTTTTGGTTAGTTTGTTGTTTTTTTTTTCCTTGGAGGGTGCGAGGGGGAAAGACAGCACAGAAGCTTTGCATTTGCCTGTCCATATGTTGACTTTTTTTTTGTGGTGGTTTTTCTGTTTTCTTTTGTTCTGTTTTTTTTTTAAATGCAGTTGTACTTCTTACCATCTTGGCACTGAAATGGCCATGAGCAAGCTCTCCTACAAAAGTAAGCTTCTTGGGTTGCGATCTCTGAAGAAGATGCTTTTTCACTCCTTCTATGGCTCTCATATAGTCTTCCAACAGTCTGTGAATTAAAATCATTCCCAGTTAGCTCACATACACGCAAGTCAGAACACATTTAATCATATCTGATGTTCGGCACAATCCTTTTGGAGACCGCTATTTCAGTGTAGAGAACAATATTTAACCAAATGTGAAAACTGACAAAAAATCCTCAAAGTCACCATCAACTGGACATTAATTAGTTATTGCTACCATGTAGCAATATTTGGTTTACTTTTCAAGTAAACCCTAAATTTAAGTATTAAAGAAAACATACCCCCAACTCTGTTTCTAGGCAGTAACCAGATTTTATTTCAGGAATCCTTAGAAGTCCAGTAATTGAAATCACAGAAACACTAGACTGGTAAGGACCTCCTGGGGATCTCTACTTCAACCCTCTGCTCTGAAGCAGATTCAATTAGATCAGGTTGCCTGAGGGCTTATCCGAGCATTTTTTTAGTATCTCCATCTGAAGATGGAGATTCAATGACTTTGAGCAATCTTTTCCAATATTTGACCACTCTCATTGTGAAACATTGTTTCACAGTATTTAACTGGAATTTCCCTTGTTTCAAAGTACTTTCATGCAGAAAAAACCCTGTTGAATAGTTCCATTTTGAGGCTCACAAAATGCCATCGTTCATGGTCCCAAAGACAACGGTTCTCCACTTACAGTGAGGTATGGCTTGGAAAAAGCAGTGATGCAAACTTTGTTTGTAGAGATGCACCTGCTCTGATATAAAGAAATGCCTCAGAGAGGCACATTGTCACTGTATGCATTAAACCCCTCGACATGAACAAGTCCAACATAATTAGGTTATAAGCAGACAAAAACTGCTTGGATTTTTTTGTCTTGTTTTGGAGGAAACCTTCGTTTCCAACACCTCTAATTCCTCTGCTCCTTGCAAACATTCTCTTTCACTTATCCAGTGCAGATAAGAGAAACATAAGAGACCTAAAGCAAAGTTTACATAAACATCAAACTTCGGTCTCCTTTCTAAGAAAAGTTACTCCTTATGGATTAAATCTCCCACCTCAACCATCTTGTAGGATTCACCTTTCCCTAACAAACCCAGAAAGAACACAGACATCGCTGGTGAAATGAAGTGTCATCAGTATTTCAGAAGCATCTAATTATGCTCCATATCTACTGCAAAGATTTAATTCTCTTCTCCTGTCCGTAACACCCCTCACATCTGATTTGCTGAAGAAAAGTTTTCTGAAGAGAAGTTTTGAGACTAAGCCTAACTCTCATGCCATTTTTACATCAACTTACCACAGGTCCCTCTTGCTTGCTTAGCTTGCTTTTAAAAACAGTGATATTTTCAGTCAACTGTTGGGCACATAGATTATTTCTCTTTAAGCAGCAAACTACAATAGAAAGTTTTACAGCTCACATAATTCTCACACAGATATGAGAAGTGGAAAGAACTTACTCATTTTCTTTTTTTCCACCCTGAATCCATTGCTTGAGCAAATACTCATAGTAGCTGTCAGCTCTGGCTCCCAGAGTATAGACACCCAAGTGAGTGAACTGCCCGCTATTGGTGTTTATGAACATAGGCACTAGTCCATCATTTTTCCCTGAGAGGGTGTGAACATGCTTCATCACCTCATCTACAGCTTTCTAAAAGAAATAAAATAGTGAACATAAATTACAGGTATAAATGATGCACAAAACCGTGGCTAGTAACTTCAGGCCGATAACAAATCTTTAACTACTCTTCCTCAAATTAGCATCAGGGACATCAAGTTCAGCTCGTGCAATATATTAAATACAGGATTTCAAAATTGCTGACTCTCAAAACATGATGTTCTGGGTACATTTAAGTACTCTGAAATAATTATAACTATTTTCTTTCCTTCAAGCAAGCCCACTCAAAAGCCAGTACTATGGCACGGGACTATGATCTGACTTACTCATATTTGCAAAGTATAAGTCCAGCTAAAATAACAACTACCTGAGTCATGCAATAGCTAAAACTTCTTTAAATAACTGCACTCGTCAAAACTTGAACTGTGGATAGTTTAAAACAACATCACCAAACAAAAAGAGTGGAAAATATTTTTTTCTCTGGAATTATTTTTATTTCAACTAATTTTTCCTTCTACTGTGACCTGCTGTCAGACCCTTATCTAGTAAGTCACATTTTAGTTCCTTGGATGGCAACACCAACGTTTTGTTCTTTGCATTTAGATAATGGCATCAAGAAACCGCACACAGAATTCTAACAACATTAAGCAAGGCACAGTTTCACGGTCCCCTGTTTAGCTTAATATTTTTTCAAAATCTGACAACCTAGTGTCAAACAAAAATGTCAATGATAAAAACTGGAGGGGTTGGGGGAGGCTGGGGGTGGTGTTTGCTTTGGTTTCATTGTGGTTTGGTTTTGCTGGGTGTTTTTTTTGGTTGGTTGGGGTTTTGGTTTTGGGTTTTTTGTTTGTTTTTTTTTTTTAATCAAAAGCTGTTTCTGAGGGAGAAAACTAATTATTCACCTCCACTACTATTTTTTGGTATTTAAGAAAATAATTGGAATGACTTTGTTTCTTTTCCTTCCCTCATCTAGAGTTTCGCAATTCATTTAACGTCACTTAGAGGCTACAGACACCCTGTGTATTGATTCCATACCTGGAATTTCTCATCTCCAGTGAGACGAGAGAGCTCCCTAAACTCCAGCTGAATACTGGTCACCTCTGCCACAGTGCTGTCAGATGTCCAACGAGGTGGATGTGCAGTGCCCCGGCCAATGTTGACATCAGAATATGGTATCTTGGAGGGGGTCTTGAATGCTGGCATAAGCCTGTTCCCAATGTCTTTCTAAAGAAAACCCAAGAGCACAGGACAAAACAACAAACAAAACAAAAAATAAATATGTACACACACGCACACCCCTTTAGATTTTCTTTCACCACGCAGATAGAAAAAGAGAGAATAGCAGCTTAGTTTTAGATGGTGCAAGAAAGCCAAAAATTAAAAAGGGTTATGGATTTATTCATAGTAATCACTACAGAGTTTCTACCTTGTTCCTAGTATTGCATGCCTCATTTAAGTCTGCAATCCCTATGCAATGTGATGTAATTCTGAAGTAATTGACTGCATCTAGCTAATTTAAAGAGGTGGCTGATGCTGTTAAGACACAAAGAAAGGGCAACAAAAGACAACTATTACTCTTTGCCAACCATTTATTTCCCCTTTTGTTTCATGAACTTTATTATGGTCAGCTCTTCATCAACAGAAGAACAGGCATATATAAGAATACCTGATAAAACACAGCAAGGCTCTGAGGTTATCCAGAGAACAAAAAGAAACGCAGGCTTAAAAGATTAATGGTAAATCCCTTTCCCACCACTTAAAATGTGAAACTTAAAAACCAGCAACATTGAACTTTCTGATGAATCTTCCCTCAACTTTGTCCAATATGGAATACATAATCCGGTTTCATTTGTAAGACTAGTCACTCACAGCTTTTTCCAGGAAGAGGCTGTCTCCGGAAAGATGGTAGGTGCTCAGCAAGCCCCCCAGGATACGAATAGTGCTCTCAAAAAGGTTCACATCCACATTTTTATTGAATACTAAATCGTTTGCTACCCATTTTCTTGCTTCTTCAAACTCTGCAAAGTATAAAAGGTAGTTCAGTTATGAACTTCTAGCATGTTCCAACAACTACAGACATTAGTACTCCATATATCCATGACAATTACTTATATCTGCCCACAGAGATCATAATTTTAGGTGGAAAACTAAAATGAAGAGCATATGCTGGGAGAAGTTTGGCTACCATCAGCTTAATTCTTATTCAGCATGCACCACAGATGCATACAGACAGAAATACCCAGCAAAATAAAAAGTTCCTAATAGTCTAAAAAAAGAAGAAATTGAGGAATTCTTTGTTAAAATACTCCAGAAACTGATTTTTAAGTCCATCCATTTGACTTGTCAGACAAGTAGTTACACTTCCGCAAAAGCCTTCTGAACTTTTTAATTAAAACTTTTTAAACCAAAGCTGTTATCTGTTATCTTGGTAGACAGCTAACAGCCATTAGGCTAGCAATGTCCTGGGGAGCCTGCCTCCTACTGCAGCACTTAACCCATAAAATCCTGACAGTCTGCAGTTTTTTCCCCAGAAATAAAAATGGTTGTTTACCACACTACTAATTCAAGAAGGAATGTAAAAAAAGCCATTTTAGATTCAACAGCCAGCTAAGCAGCAGCATCACTCAAGGATTGCTTTTGCACAGGGTCTAACTCCATTGGCGCATGTGAGTTAGCTTAGCCTTCACTGTTAGAGGCATGAGCTACCTGAAACTCTCTCACAACTTCCAGAAATGCCTGCTTGTGAGCAGGCACAGAAGAACAACCAGTTTTCCAGAAATGGAAGGTATTCAACAGCAGATTAACTCTAAAGTGAAAGGATGCCTCTGTGTCCTCATGAGAAAAAACGTCTTGGGTGTTGGGTAGACCGAGAAGAACCACAGAAAAATCTCTGCCATCAGATGTTAGCACTATCTAGCAGTACAATAGAAAAGGTAAGGTCATCTTTCACAGAAGCGCTAGTATTCATCAGCTTATAAGAAAGACTGGAAACCTCAAACAGAAACTCAAACAGAACTTTCATTTATATAGCATTTGTTATTCAGAGGAAACCCCAGGAGCTTTCTAAGGCGATCAGCAAAAGAACTGCTATAAAATATGAAGAAGTCTTCACCAAGAACCCATTTTCAACATATCTAAATGACTAATAGTTTATTTTAAAAGCTCTATGCAGTTCACAATTAATTTTTTATGAAAAAAAAGCAGTACGCTGTCAACTTGATGAAACTTCAAGATAGCCTGCTCAGGCCTAGAGCTGCAAACACATGATATGGGGTTTTCGTTTCATTTAATATTTTACACAAACTTCAAAGGTAGAAGAGACAGAACCGTGAAAGACTTTCACTGTTTATTGCCCCCTTACTAGCAGCTCTGTTCTTCCTATCTTGACACAAAAAATTGCACGATTGATAAGTTTACAAAGGTAGCTATCTATCAAGGTTAAATAGATACAGTTCCAGAAATTTTTAGATACTGCTAAAAAAAACCTGCACCACAAAAAAACCCCAAACAACTCTTAAATACTGATTAAGCAAGTTTTTTGCAACAGAATTGCAAAATTTTTGGCTTAGTTTTTAAAATCTGTTTGGAAGTTTTCTAACATAGTCACTTCCAGAATAACTGTGAAAAAATACAGACAGCAGAGCAGTTCAGCAAGGAGGTATTGAACACTCCCCTTCTCCATCCATTGATCCCTTACAGAAACAACGTTCTTAAATCCAGATATGAAATATTGATATTAGGTGTGATAAAACGCAACCTAGGAGCTTTCACGCTAGCTACCCAAGACTGATGGGTAGAAAGCTCACAGTGGCTGTAAAATGGAACAAAGATAGCATGAGGGTTTTAGTACAGAAACAGAAGTCAGGAGGCTTATTAATACATTCCTCAGTTTCTAGCAGATATATACAGCAGAATATTTTTTTTCTAGCTCAAAATTCTATTCCAAGAAAAATGGTGTCCTTTAATATAGTTGCGGGTTTTTTTAATATTTATTTTTATACCTATTGTTTTTATATATATATGTATGTACGTACTTACCCTCACAGGAAAACTAAACTTATTGGCCCCACATAATAAATGCTCCCCTCAAAGAACTCTGAACATGTACTGCCTGAATAGAAAATAAGGAATTATTTTAGAGGGGAAAAAAATGGAGGAGGAAAAAAGTTACCTTCTTTTAAGCCTAAAATCCACATGGTATCCAAGGCATCAATTAAGGTAAGCCCAAGTCCAAACCACTCGCTGTAGGACTTGGACAAAGGCTTCAGCTCATCATGGCCCCAGGCAAAATCCTTGTATCCTTTCCACGCGTGGCGGAATGCTTCTATCACAGCCATCTGACGTTCGTTTATGGGCACTGCAAAAGGAAAACAGCACCTCGCTCAAGACTTCTGCAGGGGAGTTACGCAGCTATACCAAACACCGTTTTGCTGCATTCTACCCAAAATAAACTTTCTGCCAAACTAAATGATCAGTGTGATGGAAAAACCATCCTCAGATTACTCTTTTCAGAACAGCCTTTCCTCTGCAGAATAACCAGTCAGTGTTTCTGGTCAGCAATTCAGCCAGGTGGAAACAGAGATCTCTCCCTGACAAAAAAAGTCACTTCTGCAAATAAAACATTAAAATAATCACATGCACAGTTGTTAGATGAGTATCATTAAAGCTCAAAGACCTGAAAGTCAGGAAATACCAGAATTAAGATCGCTTAAATCAACTGTAATTCAGCTGCTGAATACATATGCTTAACAATACAATCCTTGGCTCATTTACCACATACCATTTTTTCTTCATCTTCCCCGTCTTATTCATTGGCTTCTGCTAAATTTAAAATCAGTTATACAAAATCTTTTCTCTTGAACTTTTCACTTAATACAAAAAAGGAAGAAAATTTACATTTTCCATCTTGGACAAAGCCATGTCTTTTTCCATGGTTCTACTGAAATTTTTGCTCGCAATTTGCTGTGAAGTTGAACTTATGTTACACATCCAACATGAAAAATGTCAAGCTCATTAGCTGAAATTTTGAAAAATTATAAACAAACCAAGATTTCTAGAGCGGGAAACAAGAAGCAGCATAACTAACCCCATATATATTAAGCTAGCAAAAGCCAAATACATCACACTGTAATATGCCACGTTTATCATACCAGAACTTCCTCGTATGAGCCTAGAAAGCAGAACAACAGGTTCTTTACTCCACAAGGACAGCAACTGCAAAAATAACTTCTACAGCTTTCTGGTGAGCCTTAAAAAGAGTTCAGTTTAATTCACGGAGGAAGTCGCTTTCCCTGTATTTGCAGAACAAAAGGAAAACCACTGCTGAAAAAGGAAGCTGTCCCTTTCAAGCCCTCTCTCTTTAGATTATCCTTTCCTGGAGAAAAGATGGGAATGTCTGCCTCCTCGCAGAGGCTGTATTTCAAGGATTTGTCACTGAACTCTACTTTCAAATTCTGAAGGCTGTCATGGTGGAATAAGGTCACTGAAAGACTTGGATGTTCTAGGTAAATAATCTTTCCTATGCTTTTTGTTTCCTTTAATTAAAATAATAAATAAATAAATTAGATGTGCGTGGGGAGGAATTGCACAACTTCACCCACAAAAGTGAACAGAAATAAAGGTATCATTAACTGTACTATTTACCTGGTTCCTTCTGGTCTTCAGCTTCCACAGATGAAGGTTTTTCTGGTTCCTTTATTTTAATAGACGGAGGTTCAGTGCTTTGGTCAGGTTCTATCACTGCTCCTCTCCAGCTGCAAATACAAGGGATTGTAATTAAGACTTAATTTGATCACAGACAGTCATGCAAATGACTGCATTTCCTTTTTCTCACGATACTTTGATAAAACAGGAGTTGGATTTTGTATCACGGATCAAAATAACTGTGTTGTCCACTGGATAATTTTTCTGTTCAAAGAAAGTAATTTGCACCAGAGAAATTTTATTGGATTAAGAAATGTGTCTTAGAGGCTCTTGGAATTTCATTAAATATCTTGGCAATAGAATTTAATAAAGAACTTCTAAAAAGAATTAAAACACCTGAGAATGCTGCATTAGAAGAATTTTGTTATCTACCAGTTCTGAAATGATCATAGGAGCCATTAACACTAAATACTACCACACAAATGGTGATCACCAAAAAATCATGAATAAGCACAAAGGGCTAGCCACTTAAAGTACTTGCTTTACTACCAAGGGGTTCACAAGCCTTCCCTACTATCACAGATGCATAAATCAGTTTTTACAGGTTTTTATTAAGAATCTCCTGAAGGAGAAGTCTTTCAGAAAGGACTTCAAGTCAAGCCAAGTTCATATCAAGATCAAACAATCTCAACCATGCTGTTTAATATATAGGTATGTTGCCTTTGAGTTCCTGATATGCCTCCTAAGGGAAGCAGGCTTACAGGACCTTTAAAGTTTATCTTGTTTACAGTCAGCATACCTTATGACTTACATGAATCCCATCATTTCCTTTCTTACTTTCATTCTTCAAATTTGTAACTAGTCTTCACTACGCTTTCATTGCTCTCCTAAGTTTTCCTGTTACCACCTGTTTAACTCTACGAGTTATAGCGTAAGCACAGGAATAAAACACTTCAAGTCGTTCTGAGAGATTTCAGATAATAGCAATGGCCAAAACGCTGATGTAGGCACAGTTCTGATGCTCAGCTGTGCTGGTGCTGAAAAGGACACAAACATATAAAAAAAACAAGCCTAGCGTTCCAGATCTTAAGAACCTCTGCTGAACTTGTAGTAGTCTTTTCTATATCCAAGTTACATCCCTTCAGTTATTCCCAAATCAAAAGATTTCAATCAATAATATCTTAGGGAATTACTTAGTATAAATATAATCATAGCAGCATAGACGCTCTGTAAAAGATATTACTATATCTGCCGAAGGGGTCTGTGAACTGTATGATTAATCTTTTGTAAGAAAGGAGTAAGCATATCTTGTACAGTTACATGCACACAACTACATACACGTCTACGGCTTCTGCCAGTTCAACTTGGGCTTACTGTATTTAGTAGCATCATACCCCTAACCAACACTGACGCTGGTATAATTTTCCAAGTCTGGCCCAGGACAAAGACACTTGTGACAGTATTATTGTATTGATATTGGTACATTAATATTTACTACAAAAGAAATGGTGGAAACCTACAGACACTGAGAATTCTCCTGAGCATTAAGTGTGTCTAAGTGCATTAGAAATACAGACAACTTTGTAGGGCTCCAAATCCCCTGCAGTTCTGTCATGCAAACAGTAAAAAAGAAAAGCTGCACATTCGTCAAAATTAAATAAATCAGCCTAGCAATATCAACAGCTGTCAGGCCAGACCTGAGAACAAATATATGCAAGGGAAGAAATCAACCTCAGACACAGGCAACAAAAAGCCCTTACAATTTTCACTCCAACATCCAATGGATCTTGGCGGGGCGAGGCAGGGAGTACTGTAACTTGCTAGAAACATTTCTACCTGATAACGGATTTCTCCGTTTTCTCTTCTTTATCAGCCTGCACCACCTCTTCTACAACTCTGCTGCTATCGTGTCGGGTCTTCAGCCTCACATCCCTCCGTGATGGCTTGATCTGAAGATTGGAAGGACCACGCCGAACATGAGGTGGTTTTGGCGGCTTCTGAAAAAATAAAGAAAAAAATGTGCTTGGTATGTTGCAGACACAGTAAAATTTCAAACCACAAATCAACAGCATTCCAGTGTTAAACATAACTTCAGATAAATCTTATTTTGATATCGTATCAGCACGCAAGTTCTGCCCTGAATGGCAGGTATGCTGAAGACCTTGGTTTTTTGTTTGTTTTAAACTTTTGGTAAAATTATCCCATTCTTAAGTTTACAGTGATAAATTATTTTTAAGCTACCTCTACTGCTACTAGATATTAATTTAACACAAGGCACTGCCAAAGGATTGTAAAGATCTTTGATTCCATTTTACTAGGCACAGTAAATTTTCATTAGAATTAGCAAAAAGCATGCAGGAAAAAAAGCTTACACAATGCCAGTGTTAGATAATACCAAAAATTACTGTACAGTAATACATGTACATTTGTGCACGATGAGGGAAAGATTTAATACAAAATTTCGTACTCATTAACTGGAAATCCCAAAGTTCATGAGATAAATACATGAAGAGCAACACAGTAATCAGTTTTCCTCTATTTCTCTAATCCACAGAGTCAGTTCATGCTTCTTTCCCACCACATCCCCCACAAATGTAACCCTTCAAAACCTACTAACACCTGTTCTGTTTGCCACTATTTTTCAAGCTACCAGAAAAGCTATTCCAATTCAGTGTGACACTGACTGTATCCTACATTTCATATTCAGCCACGACTCTATTTAGGCTCCTCACAACAGCAAGACTGACATCCAGAGCACTCCAAGTCCAAACAAATTAATCATAGCAGGGAAGTGAGGCCTCAAGTAAGAGGTCACTGTGACCTAAAGTCCTGGCGCTCCTAGGTATATCAGTGATTAAGAAATAGTATACTAAACACTTAAATAAAAAAGGTAAAGCCAAGAAATACTATACCAAAGCCCTTCCTGAGAGGAGAGCATTCCACCCAGAGCAAACTTTTACTGCGAGTTCTAATTCCTTTCTCCTCAACAACTGTTGGAACCGAGCACTATTTGCAGCTTTCACAAACTCTTTGGTAGCTTTATAAAACTAATTTCTTCTCATAGTACCTGCGGTGAAAGCTCTGGGTAGTTTCCAAGGTTGGCATCTGCTTTCTGGGGTGCTGGTAGAACGGCTGGATTTGCCAGCTTTAATCCAGGAATTTCTGGTTCTGTTCTCTGATCATCCAACGATTTGTTTGTTACACCTAGACACACAAAGCTGCTCAGCACAAGGAATCAACAGCTTAGGCTCCAGCTAGAAATTTATGTTTGCTGCACTCACATACTAGATGCACCTCCAAAAAGTGTTTCCATTCACAAAACATTGATAAACACACACTAATTGTTAGATACAAAGTGTCTGTTGGTATTAACACTCTCCCTAATATACAAGGAGGCTGTTAAAAGGCACGTGCTTTTTTTAAATTGCTATTATTTTAGCTTCTCAATACAGGCAGTAAGATAATATCAAAGGTAAATGTGCCTTTGTACTGTAGAAAAGCTTGGAATTTCTAATCTGATGGACAATCAAAACCAAGAGAGGATTATCTCATTCTACTGTTTAGGTTTGGGTTACCAATACCTACATACAAACATAATAAAAAAAAAAAAAACCCACCACTCACAGCCTCCAAATCTTAATCAAAAACAAAACATTGCTCTAGTCAAGATAAACAATGAAAAGGCATATGAAAAATATTTCTGATTAAGCAGAAACAAATCATTGAAACATGTCACACAAAATCATCTCACAACTGCACTTTAATGGATACACCCAGTCATTGTCAATAAAAATTAAAACTAGTTATAAGAACTACAACAATCTCTTAAATATAACACCATACTTTGGTAATTCTGAGCTATACAGAACACATACTTTTCCATGGTTCCCCCATGCTTGTGTATGAAATGACTCCACAGACTGCCAAGAAGGCAAACAGGAAGAGAATTACGCTCCGCTGTAGTCGAGACAGCTGCTTCCATTTCTTTAGGGGAGAAAATAAGTAAGAGGAAGAATATTTAGCACGACATTAAGAGCCTACTCAGTCAAAAATAAACTCTTATCGGTTCATTCAGAGCAAGAAACACAAAACTGATTAGGTTTAATTTTACCCTCTGTTTCCAACTGCAGACATCCATTGCTTATTTTCTTTGATGATAGAGAAAATAGGAATATAACATGCTAGCATATGGCACAGCAGGCTCAGAGAAACATCAGAGCCACTTGCTGCAAGAACCTCAGAGACTGCCAAGTGCCAAGATTCCCAGAGAGCATCCCCTACAGCACGCTGACTTTCATCACAGCCTTCGCTGGCTGACCTGTGCGTCTGCCCAGATGTCAACTGGGAAATAAGCCAAAAGCCTCTTTTCCTCCCTTCTGGCTGGGGAGGTACTGCAGAACATACATGCGAAATAAGAGAGAGAAGAAAGTGGCAGGAAAACTAAAAATGTTACTGCAGCAAAGAAGAAAGGCTCAAAACAAGCTAAGCACCAGTCACTGGACAAGAAGAGCCAGGCATCCGGCCTCCGACAAACATACGTGGAACTGTCACGCAGAACAGGTCCTGCCACCACAAATAAAGTCACCAACCCGCAGCAACATGAAAATGAAGTAAACAGAACAAGGGACGAGACAAAACCACAATGTTTTGAAGTTTAGTCCTGGGCAAAAATGTGTCTTTAACACTGAAGTGTATACAACAAAATCACTAAAAGTCAGACAACAAATGCTACATTAGCCTGAGAGAGACGTTTACTCCATTTATAGAGAAAGCAGTTGGAGTTAAACATTAACTGCTAAATTACCAGTTTGTTAGTTTTCTAACAGTCCTATAAAAATTCACCAGAGCAGCATTTTGCTTCTAATTACTGGTTCTGGCATACAGAGAGGGCACTTCAGTGCCAATGCTACACTGGGGAACAACCTGCAGTTTCCTACAAACCACTCTGCACCTCACAGCGCTTCCCATAGTCCTCATCCTCTTAATAACAACCAGAGGCTGCAAATGTTTCAGTGAAGAACTGCGAATGTGCTCACATTGCCAAGCCCCACAGCACACATTTCCCGTTTTCCTCCCACACTGCTGACAGTACAGCAGTTCTGTACAGCAGTTCTGTACAGCAATCCTGTACACCCTTCCCTATGCACACCGCAAGATGCTGATCCCAATCCTTCACCTTCGGCTGCATGACCATGCACGACTTGCATGGCCAACCGTATCATCATCTCCCAACTGCAGAAGGATGCTCGAAACCCAGCAGCCCTGTGTTTCCTCAGGGTAGGATGGGAAAAGAGGCATTGACTGAGGTGTCTTGGGATGGGTAGGAACGAGGCAGAAGAATACATAAGGGCATTCACCACCATCTTACTTTTTTTTTTTTGCTGACAAAGAATAAGGATAAAAGGAAGGGTGAAACATCTTGTGCTCTATCCCCACATTTCCCTAGCTGTTAATAAGAGAGAAGCTGCCATATTGTGTCCCTAAACAAGTTCTTCATATGCTTCATCTGCCCACCCGTAAAGCCTCTATAGGAGGCTATACCTCATCTCCTATCTGCAACAAGGGTTATCTCGTCCCTTTCACTCCCACGTGGCCTCTCCGGCCCAAGACTCCCACCCCCGGTAAAGCTGCCTGCCCACTCCCTACCCCCAAGCAGACAAGAAGGCCGCTTCCACAGAGCTCTGCTAGAGACCCCTCTTCTCACACTCAGCCTTCCAACGGAAAGCAGAACCGTTCCCATGACTCTCCCAGGGCAAAGGACAGGGCTCCCTCTTCAAGCCCTAAAATAGAGGACAAAGGCACTAAGACCAAATCTCACCCCCCCTCCACTCCTGCCCAGAGAGCGCAGTACTGCCCCCCAAATGCCCACCAGGAGAGGGCAGGATTCCCCTCAAACAAACGCACACCGTATCCCCCCGCCCCAGCTCTCTTCATAAAAGTTAAGATATGACTTAGAGCACTCTCAAGCAGCCCGCACTCCACAAACCCCTACCAGGTGGGGAGCAGCCACCCCAACACTGTTTTTCTCGGAGCCCCCAGCCCGGGGCCACCCCTCCCCACAGTCCAGGGCCCCCCCCCCCATCGTCGTGTGCCCACAGCTTAGGCCCCCTCCCCAGCCCGGGACG